TGTTAGCCAAGATGGTCTCGATCTCCTGACCTCCTGATCTGCCCACCTCAGTCTCCCAAAGTATTGGGATTAAAGGCATGAGCCACCACACCCGGCCGCTTTTAGATTTTTTATACAAGGCTCTGATGGTTTTATTTTTATTTTATTGTTATTATTTTGAAGACAGAGTCTTGCTTTGTCACCCAGGCTGGAGTGCAGTGGTATGATATCGGCTCACTACAACCTTCATCTCCTGATTCAAGTGATTCTCCTGCCTTAGCCTCCTGAGTAGCTGGGACTACAGGCATGGGCCACTATGCCTAGCTAGTTTTTGTATTTTTAGTAGCGACAGGGTCTCACCATGTTAGTCAGGCTGGTCTTGAACTCCTGACCTCAGGTGATCCACCCACCTCGGCCCCCCAAAGTGCTGGAATTACAGGAGGGAGCCATCACACCCAGCCTGACTGTTTTATTTTGTATTCTTGCTATTAGAATTATTCCATATATCAATACAGCTTGTTTTATTATTAAACAAATCGGTGATGCTAAGGAACGTCACTGAGTGTTGACATGTCTGTGAAAGGCTTTATATAGAAACTAGGTATCTTTGGAAGGAATAGCGAAACAAAAGGTAAATGTGATAATAATGTATTATATAATGCCTGAACTTGGTCATTGTGAATCTTTCACTGTCAGATTAAGATGTATGTGCAGTGTATGTTGATTATGGAAATGCATTACCCCTTATAAATGCAGAATTATATCTTAGTGAACTTCTCCCCAAGCTTTTTGCTACCCAATTCATCTTTTCAACTATATACAAGTTGTTGAAATTCTTTCTCTTCAATATTTCGTGAGAGAGTGTGTTGACTTGAAAAAATTAGAAGTGGCAAATTCCCTTCCAAACCTGTTTTTCTGCTCTTACTAGATGTCTAAACTAAACAGGTTGGAGTTGCACTTATTTGGGTCTAGGTAAGTCACTAAATAAGGATAATCAGTTATATAGGATGTTATTCACTAGTATAGCATATTGACCAATTCAAAAACCCAACCAGTGAACATGGATGAGATTTTTAAAATAAAACCCAAAAAGTCAGAACAATTATTGCTTGTGTTTAAATTTCAGATGAACTCTGAAAATTGTTTACAAAAGTAGATTCTTAAACTTATAACAAAGTATAAGACTAAAGACTATGACAGCCAATATAAGCATATGTCCTTCCAAATATCACAAAACAAGAAACAAAAGAGAAATACTTTTAAAGAACTTTTAAAATTCTTTGCTATATACTGGTTTCCTTTTCAGCTCAGATATTTTATCAGACTAAGGTGTATACTTTAACCAAATATATAAACCAATTTAAGAGGAATTTAGGAGCATATTGTTTTTGACATAGTTATTATAAATTAATGGTCATTTAACTATTATCCATTCCAAAGGTGGTTAGAAATAAACTCTCAAGAAAGCTTACCATGTGGTGTTGGCCAAATCTTAACTTTTGCCCTTGAGTTAAATCTTAGTAATAGTATCCTTTATGTCTGTGTTCGTGAAATGTAAGATTTGGAATTTCTTTTCATGTAATTGATTTTTCTTTTTTTTAATATAATGCTCAGTATTTATGAGCATGCACCCTTTGTCAAACACCGCACAATTTATACCAGATTAAAATGCAGAGGGCTGAAATTAACCATGACAATAACAAATTAGTTAATATTAAAGGCCACCATTTAATAACAGAGAGGAGAGATATGGACAAGGTGTTCTGCTCAGCATTTTTGGTATGCATCTCACTCAGTCTTCACAAAAACTGTATGTAAAATCTGTAAGTGTAACCCATCGCACAGATGAAGTAACTCAGCAACTTGCCAAAGAGCACCCACTTAGTGAATGGCAGGATCAGGAAGACAGCCCAGCAGTGTCTACTCTAAGCCTGGTTTTTAATGACCTACCATAAACTTCCTGGTGCTGCATCTCCTAGGGAAGAGACAGTGAACTCAGAGGGTGGGGTTGGTGGTGTGGAGGATCTGGTGTCACAAAGGAGGTGGTATTTCAAGTGCATCTCTAAATAACCTGTTATCAGGCAGTTGAGGCAGGAAAAGAATGTTAGTCAGGGAAGAGAAGCACAGAGAAGTATATTATAGGGAGGTTGTGGGGAGCAGGTCCAAAAGTGTAAAAGAGAAAAGCATGTTTACCAAAATGCTTGTGCAATTGAGGTAGGCAGACATGCCCTTGCAGAAAGCCTGGATACCACCTAGATTTCATCCTTTAGGTAGACACTGGGATAAAAGTAAGAGTGCAGTAAAGATGGGGCCTTAAATAATTTTAAACACGGAGAAGCAAGTTATTGGATTTGTACTTTAAAAGGTAACTGGCAGAGAAGTGTGGAAAGTGGATGAAAGAAGGCAGTGGTGGTGCTGGCGGTGGTGAAACTAGAGGCAGGGAGCCTGCTTCCTTGTTCTCCATGAGTGATGATCAGGCTATCACCAAAGGCTGAGAGAAGTGGCAGTCTGAGTCTTGACGCACAGTTGAATGTAGAGAGGAAGGAGATACATGATGCTCAGATTTCTGAATTAGGAAACTGGAAGGATGGTGCTCCCCTTGATGGAACTTTAAAAGGAACATGTGAGGTGAAGAAGTAATGCATTCCATTTTGCATGTGAAGATGTTGCGGTGGCTGTGTGTCATTCCACTGGCAGCTTGTCAAGAGGTAGTTAGGCATATCTGGGTGTCATTATTTCATTAATAGTCCCACTCAAGAGCCCCCTTTATCTTTGCCCTGCTTGTCTTTTTTTTTTTTTTTTTTTTTTGAGGCAGAGTCTCACTGTGACACCCAGGCTGGAGTGCAATAGCTCAATATCAGCTCACTGCAACCTTCGCCTCCTGGGTTCAAGCGATTCTCTTGCCCCAGCCTCCCGAGTAACTGGGACTACAGGCATGTGCCACCATGCCCGGCTGACTTTTGTATTTTTAGTAGAGATGAGGTTTCACCAAGTTGGCAAGGGTGGGTCTCAAACTCCTGACTCAGGTAATCCTCCCACCTTGGCTTCCCAAAGTGTGAGATTACAGGTGTGAGTCACCGCACCTGGCCTCTTCTGCTTGTCTTATCAGTCAGCAAGGCCTGTCAGTTCTGCCTATCCCTCCCTCCCTCCCTCCCTCCTTCCTTCCTTCATTCCTTCCTTCCTTCCTTCCTCCTTCCCCCTTCCCTCCCCCATTCGCCTTCCCTTCCTCCTTTTCTCCCTCCCTCCTCCCCTACCTCCCTCCATCCTCTCCCTCCGTCCCTCCCTTCCTTCCTTTTTCTTTCTTCTCTTTTTCTCCATCCGCCCCCCCCAACAAGATTTTGTTCTGGAGGGACTGGCACAATCACAGTTCACTAAAGCCTCGACCTCCCAGGCTCCCGTGATCCTCCAACTTCAGTCTCTTGAGTAGCTGGTACTACAGGCACACACCACCACACCCAGCTAATTAAAATTTTTTTGTACAGATAAGGTCTCACTATGTTGCCTCTGCTGTTCTCAAACTCCTAGACTCAAGTGATTCTGCTACCTCAGCCTCCCAAAGTTTGGGATTGCAGGCGTGAACCACCTACTTCTTTAATGTTTCTTAAATTTTCACTTAAATAAATCTCTGAATTGGTCATTTGGATTGGAGTGTGCAATGCCCCATAACTACAAACACCTTAGTGTTTCTACTAGGCCCTAAAAATCAGACTCAGGCCTGTATCTTCAGCCTTGTTTCTACCTACACCACTCTGCAGAGCCTGCACTCCAGCTCTTCTGAAGCAGCCACAATTTGCTAGAGATTATGCTTACTTACTTCTGTTTTGAAGCACAAAGACATGTGTACAACCTCTGCTGCATGCCAGGGTGCACACCAGGAGAGGCAATGATGAGTAATATAGGGCTGACTTCCCAGGAGCACCTAGTAGAGAATCAAAAGATTGTTAACTCAGTGGAGTCATATTCATGTCCATTAAATGAGGTTCATTGACAGAAAAAGCTAGGCCTCTGGATGTTAATTTAAATTAAGTAAGTAGTCAATATCCTAATTCAGTGACTTGCAGAGAATCTGGTGGATTATTTAATCATCATATAAAATAGGTGGTTCATGTACTCATGTTGAGGCGGGGGACCTAGGAAGTCCTTCCTAGAACTAAATTGAAAGGACAACCCTAACTTTCCAGACCTAAGTAACTAAAGGACCAGAGGCCACTCCCTTTGACCTTTTCTGCCTAGCAGATGGGAAATTGGATGTCCGCAACAAATCAGACTGATTGCAGGTCCAGTCTCCATTCTGAACTTCACTCCAGCCTCTGAATGATTGCTCTCCACAACCAGACTGCGGGCGGGCGAGTCTTTGTTTGCATAGAGTTATAACTTTGTAACTTCATTCCAGACTCTGATTACTTGTTTTTTTGCAACCAATCAAATGTTTGCACAGGAGTATTACCTTTGTAACTTCATTTCAGTTTCTGGTTGGCTGCTTTCTGCAACCAATCAGACTGACTGTGGGCTACCTTCATTTACATGAGGTGAGCATGAAGTGGCCACTGGGACACTTCTAGGAGGTACTTGGACCCAAGAAGATTCTGTATCCAGACCCTTGAGCCACTGCTCTGCCCGCTCCCACAATGTGGAGCATACTTTCGTTTTCAATACACCCTGTCTTTTTTCTTTTGTCGCTTTGCAGGGTGTTTTGTCCAATTCAGTCACAACCCTCTACCAGTGACAATGTTGTTTTATTTTACTGACAATTCATTTATCAGTGTTAGACACAAAAATCATTTGGTCATGTGCTGCCATAAATAACTATAAAGTATGTGTGTGCCAATTTCACTTATCCTGGCCTGGATCTCACCGTAGTAGATCAAAAGTGAGGAAGAAACAGTAGCTGAGAGAAGCTGGAATCAGTAAAAATATAAGAGTAGTTCCATCCATAATGTCTGCCATAATGGGCCCTATATGTGAAAAGTTAAAGGAGCTTATGTAATTATGGAGGTAACTATTATACAAGCAAAACAAAATTTATAATAAAATATTTTTTATGCTCAGAATTCTAAAAATAGCTGTAGACTGGAAAACCTGCAATTGCCTCACTACCATCTAATACATAGAAAGTCTAATACATAGAAACAGACTTGAAAATTTCGGTTGAGAAAACATTTTGTAATAAAATAAACAGATTTTATTCAGCACAGGCAAAACAAAAACAACAAAACAATGTTTCAAATGGAATTTTTGTTAAAGGTGTCCAGTTCACAGTCAGCCACAATTACCCCAGAGAATTGTTTATATTTAAAAACAGGCTGAGAATAGTTTGACTTGTAATCACCTGGAGGATATTCAGCTTGTCAAGATTACTATGGAAAATCCCTGTGCTGCTTCAAAGAGAGAGAACAAAGCTAAATAGTATCTGCCACCCAAATCTTGCTCAATAGAGTGATTTATCTGCAGGCCAGCTAGCTGGCGAGAGGAGCGCACCTCCTCCCTTTTCCTAGCTGTCCTGAGTTTATTCATTCCTTGAACCTGAATCCTGAGTGTAGGGTTTAAGACCTCATGCCCCAGAATACATCACTGCAGTTGAATTTTGGCTCTACCTTAAGGTAAACTACGCAGCTGTTTTGAGCCTCAGTTTCCCCGCCTATGGAAAGAGGATCATAGTGGGGATTGTCGCAGGGGTTAAATGAGACTGCACGGAGCGTGTAGCAGTGCCCGGCGTGTGGTAAACGCTCAACCTATGCGGGTTGTAACTGCCTGAGCAGTTTCCTTCTGCTAGCCATTTGGCCTTGTCTTTCTAAATATTAGCATAATAAATATAAATGGACCCAGAACGCGAGGGGGCAGAGGCCACGTGATCGCTCCACGAAAGCCACTTGTAGGGGCCTTTAGAGAGTTAGCAATAAGGCTGGAGAAGGAAAAGCCGGCACGCCCGCAGCCCGCGCGATTTCCCGCCGCGCCCGCGTCCCTGGCGGGAGGGCTCCGGGGGCGCCCGGGCCGCTGCGGCGGCAGCGACGGCGGCGGCGGCGGCGCGAGCTGCGCCTCAGGGCCGGTGAATCATCCCGGCAGACACCGAGAGCCGCGGCAGCAGAGAGCAGCGCCGAAACATGGCTGAAGCGGGCACGGGCTTTCTGGAGCAGCTCAAGTCCTGCATAGTTTGGTCTTGGACGTATTTGTGGACCGTGTGGTTCTTCATCGTGCTCTTCCTGGTCTACATCCTGCGAGTGCCTTTGAAAATCAACGATAATTTGAGCACAGGTAAGGCCGGGGAGCCGGGCCCGCAGCGCCCGCCCCTCCCCCGCCCCGGAAAGTTAGTGCAACTCGCGCGGGGCCGCGGCCGACGGGGGCGGGCGGCTGGCGGCCGGGCACGCGCTCGGGGACGCGCCGGGGCCCGCGCACCGGACGCCCGCTGCCACCCGCCAGCGACGCGGCGGCTCAGGCGGCGGGGCCGGGCGGCTGGGCGCGCGGGGGCAGCCGGCGGCCTTCACGGCCCCCCTTAGAAAGAGCTGCGCCGCTCACAGACCGCTAGGCGGGCCCGGGCCCGCGGCCGCTCTGCCGCGTTGCTGGGGTCAGGAGCCTCAGAAGGGCGGATGTCACGGCCGAAGGAGTTCCCGGGGACACCCCCTCGGGTGTCTGCGCTGTAACTCCGAGGGCTCCACGGCGCTAGACCGAGTCCTCCCTCACGGCCTTCCGGCCGGTGGGTGCCGAGCGGCCGAAGTGTAGTCGAGAGCCGCCCTCCAGCCCGGCCGCGGAGGCCCGAGGGTGCTCGGTGGCGAAGCCCCCTGACCCGGCCGCGCTGTCCTGGCGGCGACCTCCGCGGCCCGGAGTTGCGCCTTGCCTGGCTTGGGTCTGCCTCTCTGGTTGGGTAGTGGGGAGAGGGGTTCCCGCAGGCACTCTCAGGAGTGTTTGGATGACGTGGCAGGTCACCAGACGGAAAGTCGAAGGGACCGGAGGGGAGACCGGAGAGCTGGAATTTCTGAGGGTCTCGGTTGCAGTTTTCAGTGATCTCTGCTGGTCTCCCTTCCCTCTGAAGCTACATATGCCAAGCAAGTGCCGCGTGCTTCCCATCCATGGTCGGTGGTTAATGCAGGTGGTAATTAAAACAAGATCCTAACAAACTTGCAGCCAGCCCACTGGGTCGTTAACAAACACCCGCAAAGAAAGCACGCCAGCCCTAACGCTCCAGAGAGTTCCAAAACACAAAGTGTATTTCGAACTGTTACAATCCTTGAAATGTGGAAATTCCAAGGTAGAGTTTTAAAATTTTTAAAATTTTAATTTCACAGTACTCTGGGAAATTCATACAGTCCTGAAAATAAATACATACACATTACACGTTGTTAATCTCCATACTCTGGGAGTGCAGGTCAGGAAATGCATTTTCCTCAGGAGTTTAGCTGCATTAAAATGCTTTTTAAAACGCTTGAGATAATGTACACATTTTGTTAGGAAACTTGTTCCTTTCAGATAGAACTTAAGTATCTTGATTACTAACTTGAACTTCTGTTCATGTTTCATTTGTTTCGTGGTATCCTCGGGATGGTGTCCCTGGGAGGTGGATAAGATTCAGCACTATAGAATTGTCTCACCATTTGAATAGGTGCTGCTCAGTCCCGTGGAGTCTGTCTTCGGAAAGACCATGACTTTCTGACTTTTCATCTTTTTGAGTGGCTGCTTGTTGCAGTATTGTCTTTGCTTTAGACAAGTATGTCTCCAGGATACCTTCTGGTCTCAAAGTTCTATACCTTTAAGAAGTTTGAATTTATGTTGTAATGGATTTATGTATTTGTTGGTAACAGTCAGTCTGTTTTGTGCAGCTGTAACAGGATACCACAGATGGGGTAATTTTTAAAGAACAGATTTTATTTCTTGCAGTTCAGGAGTCAGGAACGTCCAAGATCAAGGGACTGACATCTGAGGAGGGCCTTCTTGCTGTCATCTCTTGGTGGAGGTGGAAGGGCAAGAGAACATGAGAAAACAAGAGGGGTCCAAATTCACTTTTATAACCTACTCCCTCAATAACAAAATTCATTCATTCCTGAGGGCAGAGCCCCCATGACCTAATTACTGCTCAAAGGTCCCACATTTCAACACTTTTGCACTTGGGATTAAGTTTTGAACACACGAGTTTTAAAAAATATTAATGTTTCTCATTATTACACATTTAAAACTTTTATTTCATAATATACATTTGTATATCACATTTTCATCAGTTAGGTTAAATAATTATCCATGTATATGTGCAAGCATCACATACCAGTGCTCTGGACAGATCAGGCAAGAAGCAAAATACCTGCTGGGAAAATCTGTAGTTGTTAAGGAAGGACGTTGGTAGGTCTTCTCCTAGCAACTTTAAATCTAGCATTTCTCACAGATGCCTTTGTTAATTTGTGTAGGGGCAGTTCTAAGAGATAGAGAAAATAGGAAGGTGAACATGCCCATCCAGGCTGTACCTTGTTAGACATGTGGTAGAAGGAGCCTGAGGCTCTTTTCCTGGTGATGCTGGACTTTTCAGTGTGGTTTCATAATCAGTTTAGTCATAAAGGAAGATAAAAGGAAAAGCACAGAGAGCACTCACCTCTCTGCTGTATTTAGGAGAATGTAGCAGGATTTGGGGTGGGAGGAGGACTTTGGCATTAATTTTAAGACATGAAATTACAGCTGCAAACCATCCCAGAACAGTTGAGGTTTTTCAAAAGACAGTGGCAGACATTGGAGGCCTATTTTCTTCCCTTTTAAGTAACAGTGAGAAGTTATAGTGGGAAAATTGCCAAAAGGTTGTTGTCAACTTAATTCCCTCCTTTCCTTGCCAGTTCCCGTCCCCTTTGGGAAAAAGTTTATGTACTGAAGTTATTGTCAAGGAAGGCCTAAAGAAGTCATTAGCCAGCACCCCAAAGAAGGGAGTCAGGCACTAGCCTGGTCTAACTCGTCTTACAGGGAGGTCTAAAACTGTTCTAATGAGACCAATTTTGCTGTTCTTAAGCCCTGTAGTGCCTACTCTCTGTGATGAAGGCAAGTGTGTTCCTGGAGAGGTCACTGACTCTGGAGCTACTTTGAGGGAGTTGCAGATGGCACAGGCCTCCCTTCTCAAGGAAGCCCACGACCCCATCACAATCAGGCAGCCAGGAGCCAGGGTTTCCGTAGGCCCAGCTCTGCACCTGTAGGGGGATGGAATCTGGTAAAAGTGTTCTGGAGTCATTCTTGGATATCTGCTTGGTATCTTCTCAATATCTTGACCATCTGTGACAATTTTTATTTTTTTTTTTGAGACAGAGTCTCGCTCTGTCCCCAGGCTGGAGTGCAGTGGTGCAATCTCAGCTCTGCTTCCATGGTTCTAGCAATTCTCCCGCCTCAGTCTCCCAAGTAGCTGGGACTACAGGTGCATGCCGTTACACCACTACACCCGGCTAATTTTTGTATTTTAATACCGATGGGGTTTCACCATGTTGCCCGAGCTGGTCTTGAACTCCTGAGCTCAGGCAACCCACCCTCTTCAGCCTCCCAAAGTGCTGGGATTCCAGATGTGAGCCACTGCACCTGGCCATCTGTGACAATTTTAATCCTCATTCGATCATATTTTATGGTGAATGAGCTTAACTTGATTTGTTTTTTTAATTTCTTAAATGCCTCCTAATGTACTGTAACAGGTGCTATGGTAAGAAAGATGTGTGAGTTTGTAAAACCCAGGATAAATAAGGAGTTTACAACATGAATACAACTTCCCATATGCAAGGCGGAGCTGGGCAAGGCTGTGAGAGCTTCCTTTGAACTGAGCCTGAGAGGATGAGGAGAATTCCATGATCCAGGACTCGGAGGTGGACCTCCCAAACAAGGGCACAAAGCTGTGAAAGTGCAGGTCGGATTCAGAGAACTGCGGATCATGTGGAATTTAATCTAAAACAATAAAAAGGACTTCGATGATCAACCATGCCATTTTTAGCTCTTATGTTGTGTGTAGTTTTCCAAGTAAAAATGCTTTGAATGCTGTTTTTAAGGTGTACTACTTCCCCATTCCCACCAGCTTGGCTTGTGTGGTCTTCATTGTGTTGAGCCAGTGCCATTTAGGGTAGGGATATAGTTGAAGGAATTCCACAGTGTTCTATTAAACCATACAGAGAAACCTTTGCATAGGCAACCACATCTTGTAATGAAAAATGAATTTTAAAAAAGAAAAGGGAGAAAACGAATGTAATAGGAATAATACATAGTGGTTAACTTTGATAATAGTTTTTTCTGTTGTTTGTTTAAGAGTCTTAGTATGTTACCTAGGTTGGACTTGAACTCCTGGGCTTAAGTGATCCTCCCACCTCAGCTTCCCTAGTAGCTAGTATTACAGGTATGTGCCACCATGCCTAGCTGCTGATAACTGATTTTTGAGACTCTTGATTTTGTTAGAAGAGTGTTAAGTTTTATGATTTACTGAAAATAGAATGCACTTTTAACAAGATTTTTAAAAGACCCCAAATTATATTACTTGTGAGTTTTCAAGTGAGTTAATATTATAAAGCAATACTTTTCCAAAAAGGCAGAAAATTAATTGTATATTGGAGTAGTCATGCAGGATATTATTAAAATAGATGAGTCTTAAAAAAATAGCACCATAACTTATAGAGTGGTGTTGATGGCATTTTCTCATCTACCCTTTGTTATAAAGTTTTTGCTGCTGAATTTAAACACCTTGCAAGATATACCTTTTCCTACAATGGGCAACTTTGCCACTTTTACAAAAAGCAGTGTAAGTGATTTTCCAATTCTTTTTCTATTTGCTGAAAAACAAGTTTTCAAAGATCTTTGAAATCCGATTTTGTTCCTTTTGGAAAACAAATGTAATCTAATAGCCTGACCTAGGCTTAATGTTATTTATTTACTTATTTTGGAGACAAGGTTTCACTCTGTCACCCAGGCTGGAGTGCCGTAGTGCAATCATAGCTCATTGCAGCCTCAACTTCCAGGCTCAAGCAATCCTCCCGTGTCAGCCTGCCACCTCAGTTTTAGTAGCTGAGTCTGCAGATGCATACAACGCATGGCTAATTATTTTTTATTTTGAGACGGGGTTTCACTCTTGTTACCCAGGCTGGAGTGCAATGGCGCGATCTCGGCTCACCGCAACCTCTACTTCCTGGGTTCAGACAATTCTCCTGCCTCAGCTTCCCGAGTAGCTGGGATTACAGGCTCACGCCACCATGCCCAGCTAATTTTTTTTTATATATTTTTAGTAGAGACGGGGTTTCACCATGTTGACCAGGATGGTCTCGATCTCTTGACCTCATGATCCACCCGCCTCGGCCTCCCAAAGTGCTGGGATTACAGGCTTAAGCCACTGCGCCCGGCCTTTTTTTTTTTTTTTGAGACAGAGTCTTTCTCTGTCTCTAGGCGCTAGGCTAGAATGCAGTGGTGCGATCTTGGCTCACTGCAACCTCTGCCTCCCCGGTTCAAGCAATTCTACTGGCTCACCCTCCCCAGTTGCTGGGACTACAGGCATAAGCCACCACGCCCAGCTAATTTTTGTATTTTTTAGTAGAGAGGGGGTTTCACCATGTTGGCCAGGATGGTTTTGATCTCTTGACCTTGTGATTCGCCCTTCTCGGCTTCTCAAAGTGCTGGGATTACAGGTGTGAGCCACTGTGCCTGGCCAAGTTATTTAGAAATCTTTTTGTGTTAAACTGATAAATACAGATGTAAAACTCTTATATTGTTGACATGATATATAACTTAGGGTGCAGCTCAGTTTTGGCATTTTTCCATGTTGAGAATTTTTGTTCTAAATTTACTTAACATTTTGATTTTAATTTACTTAAAATTGGATTTCCCTTCTAGAGGGTCTGGTTGCAGTTTACATAGGTCTTTTGTCCCTGTTGTGCCTGTTGTCTAAAATATTCTCCCCTATCTGTAAATCCCACCCATCCATCAAGGACCACCTGGCATGCTGCATTCTGATCCTTTCAGCTACAGAAAAGACAGGCATACCATGGAGATACTGTGTGTTTGGTTCCAGGCCACCACAATAAAGTGAGTCCTATGAAATTTTTGGTTTCCCAGTGCATATAAAAGTTATAGTTACACTATATTGTATTCTATTAAGAGTGCAATCGCATTGTATCTAAAAGACCAATGTACATATCTTAATTTAAAATTAC